ATATATATATATATATATATATATATATATATATATATATATATATATATATATATATATATATATATATATATATATATATATATACACGAGGTGATGTCACCCCGCTTAGGAGAAGAGAGAGGCGACGTCGCTTATACACACACACACACACACACCGAGCGGTATACTAAACGGTATACCGCTCGGTATATAGTATCGTAGCGTATCGAGCGAACATCGAAACACCAGTACGATACGATATTTCAATCCTTGGGCGAAACATAATAAAACATTAATTATGTATCAGAATGGGGAAGCAAAACAATCCAAAAGAAAAGTAAACAATGAGCTAAACAATTAAACAAAATTATGGAATAAGATCTAAAAGAAAAGGCACTAGGAAGACAAGCTACAACAATAGATACATCAATCAACAAGGTAACATTCAACACTTGACCCTTACTGTGCTGACAGGACAATATATTTGATGCCAGCAAAATATAATATATTTTGAAATTATTATATGATATGCAAAAATCATCTTGACAAGAAAACCCTATGAATACTGACAACTTGACAAACATCTTCACTTCCTGTCAAGTACTGATTAATTATATGTGTACGATTTCTGAGTTTATCCTCCTCTTGTTAAAACATGTCATTGAACTTTATAATAAATGTTTATAAAGTTTATTCATAATTAGCACAAGCAGGTAAAAGAATCATTGTTCATTTATGCAACACTACTGTGACTGGAAATTTTGATCTGAAACTCCCATAAAAGTAGAACAAAACAAAAAAATAATGGAAATTTTAAGTGATGCTGATTGAGGTCAACAACTGCTAGAAATGATCTGGCCTTTCCAAGCCACTCCAGCCAATTAAGGAAAGGGGAGGGCTGTCCAAGCCTATTCATCAACTCAATTAGTAACAAGACATATTTCTCCATTTTCCTGTTATTTTTGGACTGATTTAATTATTAATTTAAACAGCTCATTTAGTTGGAAAAAAATCCTATTTTACTACTAATAGTTTCCTAGATTCCAAATATAGGTACAATATAGAACAAGCAAGCCTAATTCTTTAGTACAACAAAAAGAAAAACTATAAGTCCCAACTATTTAGGGTCAGCTATATGGTTTTTCTTTGTCACCATTGAAATCTGTAAACAAACTATATGTTTAGTTAATTTTAAAATAATTAAATCTTTATTTATAATTTCTAATAAGGTCTTTTTGAATCTTCCTCTATATCTCCTCGTACCATTAACATTAATCATTTCACCTCTTCAGACTATCATATCCTGAGATCTCCTAAACACATATATCATCTTAAACGATTTTCTCTTATCTTATCTGCTTTTAAAGCGATATTTAGTTATTCACGAATAAAAATATTTTTTTCTTATATTTCCTACTAATTCTATACATCCATCTTAGCATTCTCATCTCGATAACACAAACTTTTTATATATATTGTTTCTTAACTGTCTTATAAAATTTTACTTTTCAATCTCAAAGATATCCAATGATCACACAAGACTCTTGACGCCCCTCGCCAGTAAACTATCTTATTCTCACTCTATTAATAATATCTTCATCGATCCCTCTATCTTGTTGAATAATTAAATCAAGATGCCTAAAGCTTTTACTTAAGGGAACCTCTTGTCCATCCAACTTAATTATATTCTCCTGTCTATTCCTAAAATTACTAAAATTACATCTCATATATTCAGTGTTAGTCCTACTTAATCTAAAACTTTTAGTTTCTAAGGATTGCCTTCTTAGCTCAAGTTTACAATTAATTTCACTTAAGCTCTCATCAACTAAAGATAATATCATCAGCAAACATTTAATTCTTTAGTACTAAGTCAATTTACATAGTAGTTTAATTCTTTAGTTGTAGCTTGGAAGGTATTTTCTACTCTCGATTGGCAAACACAAGGTATTATTTGCAGAAGATGCACATATAAAGAAGCAAAAGTAAAATAATTTGTAGAACCGAAAGGGCATATCATTTGAACATTTGAGCTCCTAAAAACAAATCTTAAACTCCACGAACATGAATAAATAGTACCTCCAACAAGTAGTTGAATGCTTCCATCAGTCATTTTCAACAATACATATGGGTCAGCAATAGAAACAGATGCCACCACAGGTGCCTCTGAATTAGATATTAACTCAGAATTATGCACTCCAAAGGTCAACTCCTGGGTCATGTAAGAACCATCAAGAATACGAGCACCACGTGCAAAAATTTGTACAACACGACGCCTGGAGTAAACATACTGTTAGACCAAAAACAACATAAACATTAAAAACTAGCTCTTGGCTATACAAAGTGTACCATTTGAAATCTTACAATAATGGATGAAATTGGTTTATTTCTTTGATCTTATAGTGTTAGACCCATCTAAAACTTTGACCTGGACCCAACATGACCTAAATATTTTACTCATTTTTGAATAATATATAACAAATATTTATCCAATATATTCTTTTGACTTTTAAAATTATCATGATATGTTTCTATGTTTAAAAAAATGAGGGAATTTTATAGCGCATCTACCTGTTTTAGATTTCTATTATTGTTTCTTGTACTGTTTTTCATGATATTCCTCACAATCTAATTGCATAACATAAATTACATGCGAATCTTGTTTTTTTTCTTTCAACTTGAACATATTTAAGACCTATGAAAAAAATCGAAATCCAACAAAATTTCAATCTTCTATAATCAACCTGAACACGGACCCAACCCAATATTAAATTAGGTAGGGCCAGCTCCAATCTCACACAAATTATTTGGACTTGGTCCAGGTTTAGGTCCAGGATAGTAGTTACCCAGACCCAAAACCGGCCTACTGTCGTCTCTATTATTCACCATAGAAAAGTGTCCTAAAGTAGCGATTGGAACTACAAGTTGCAAAACCAACAGCCTGAATATATTGATGAAGAGGTCAGCATCAAATCAGAATTACCTGACCAATCAAGCCCATGAATAAGACAACGTACTAAACAGTCCAGTTCACCACTAGGTTAAACCAATCTTCATTTATGTTTCATATGAATAATTCACATCATCCTAAACACTAATGGATTCTTATCTCATGAATATTCTTCTTGCAATTTCTCATCTTGCTAAACCAAGCATCAGTACACGTGCATGTACCAAGTGTCGAAAAAATCTTGAAACAAAGACTAGAAGAACAAAAAAAGAAACTAGTATAAGGCATGTGCCACCCGGTATTGAGCAGTACAGGCCCTGTACAAGGCATACCAAGTGGTATAGAAATTGTACTGGAAATACTGTCTGATATGCCCTGATCCACATACCAGTAGACTGTTGGACAGGTAGATATCACACATAACATACCATACAAGGCAATATTGCAATCCTAGCTCAAACATATTATTTGAATAATTATGCTAGGTGAAGAAATATCATCAACAGACAATTGTACAACTACTAAACAGTATAGTCTGAAACAATTACACAATGTTTTTGTGAAGAAGATACAACACTCACCTTCCAAATAAGTTCCCTGCAGCAATTGTACTTCCTTGAACATAATAATCGACAGTTTCCGTGACCTCTCCCAGATCATCAGCTGTCTCAAGAACCTAGATGACAACAGACAAGCAATTAGGATCATAATTCAGATATACCACTACAGAGATTAAAATCTAGCAGGACACTAGCTGGATCATTTTTGCAGAAATACAAGATTGTTGCTCACTACCATGTATGGGTACTTCAAACTTTTGCACATTCAGATTAATAGAAAAGACGAAAGAGAGGAGTGGAGGACACCTTCTTTCATCTGGAATGAATGAACTTCTAGTTTTCCAAACAATCATATGAGCTCGCATTAACATGCAAGAAAAACTGACTCAGAAGATGTACAATATTTAAAAAGAAAAATGAGTTTGGAGCCCAACTATGTAGAGATCGATTGTTAATATTAGCATTTGAAAATCTGCAGAAGATGGAACCTTTATGTGATAATCGATTAGGAAGAAAATCTTCTCATGCAAGTTGTGTATTCTGTAAAAGTCCGGCATGCTTCACCAGCGAAACTGTATGTCAACCAACTACTAGGTTCTGCATAATAGATCTCTCATAAGCCTTATTCTGTCAAGCATGCTCAAAAGATTGTGGCCTTTTAGAGTTGCTGTCTGATAAGAGTTTAAGACCATGTCATCTACCAAATATGAGGAGAGTTTCATGCACAAATATCCAATACCAATTTGCTCATAACATGATTTATGAAGGCACAGCAAAATCATGAGGCTTAATTTCATAGGTCTCTCAGTAAAGTCAGTATGTTTATTTTAGGAAGAAAGTTGTGCAAATATCATACAAAAGAGAATATTATGAATAGCAGAATTACATTATTTTTGAGAAAACAGGTACATTAAATTATAGATCTAATATCATATTTCATCATAGATTAGATAATAAGAGAACTTTAGCGCTCTGGAGCAAGGACATATTATCATCAAGTACTATAAGTTGAAATCACCATAGTACGGGTCTCCAAACTTATTATTAAGTAGGCATGATATTCATCATCTTCCATCATTGTTTTTGACGAGTCAGCTGCATGACCACGAGAGCCCTTATGGTAGACAGACCATATCCCCTTGCATCCAGGCAACTCAACCTGCAGGACAATTGAAGAATTTTCAAAGTATCTTAGACAATCTCTCTCAGATTACCTACATTAGAGCTAAGTCTAACTGTTCACGAATAAAAATATTTTTTTTTCCATCTTTTCTATTAACTCAACACATCTTCTCATCTCAAGCAACAAAAGAATTTTGCATATATTGCTTATTAAATGTTCAACACTTCGATTCATAAAACATAAGTGACGTAACATGTGTCTTACAAAACTTTCTTTTAATCTAAACTGAACCAGATGATAACACAAAAATTCTTACTCCCATCTCCCCTTTAACCACCCAGCTTTTGTTCCATAAACAATATCTTCTGCAATCTCTCTATCATGTTGAATAATTGATAAATGATAAAAAAATTTATACATTGACAAATAGAGAACAACTATAACCTATTGAAATTTGTCATAAGATATCAGCAAGCCATGCCCTTGCCCAGAAATATCAAAGAATAATAAAACCAGAGTTCACCTCAGTGATCAATTCAGGACGAATTGATTGTTGAAGCACACAAAGAGCTCCATTCTTCCCATGACCCGAACAACATACCTGAACATGAATCATGGATATGAAATACTAAAGTCAATTTTAGTTAAAGTTTCACTGTCTGAGAAAATAAAGTAATTTCTGGATAACGTAAAGGTCAAATAAGTACAAAATCCTGAAAAATTAATAAAAGCTAAATCAGCGAGATAATGTAGAGGTAGACAGGTATTATCCAGTTTGTGCCTAATTGAACAGATATACAACAACCATATTAGTACCACCAGAGATAGACTAAATATATTAACTAGATAGAAATAGCAGAATGTTGTCACAAACAAGCACATAATAGCAACAACATTAATATCCAGAAAAGAAAAAAAATAAGACCAAATTACTTTGACTCCATCGACCATGATATTTTTTTTGCCACAACACCATAAGGCCGTCCATTAAACTTCATCATGACCTTTAGTCCTTATTCCAAGATTATATAGCTGCAAGTGGGGGAAAGGACTATCGAACAATATGTCTCATCAAAGAGACATATACACAACCAAGAAACGAAAATTGAAAGTGTATAATTAAGCTTAGTAGCACAAAACTAAATGATAGGGTCACAATAAAGTACATTTAAATGATGAGAACTATTAGGATTTATTCATGGCTTCAGTCTCCATAATTTTTAATATGAACACATTTTTGGTACCAGCAAAAGAATTTAGTAGTTGATTAATATTTTCTTTAAGTCGAAATCTTTCAGTCAACAAAGTTTAACAACATCAAAACAGAGCTTTAAGTTTTGGATTTTTATGTTGTTCAGTGAAAATCCATAGTATATCGTAAGGAATCATTCGGCGCCAACAAAAATTTCCCAACTTCATCAAATTTCCATGTTTTCATCTAGACACATTATACTTAGAACCCTTTCAATTTGACAACCAAACATATTCTGAAGCTTCTGACTAAAAGAAACTAAAGCATTGTAATGCATCCTCAAAGTTATGAATAATGGAAAAAAAAACAATAATAATTAAACTAACCAGTTCATAATTACTTTGCTTTGCAATTCCGGTTGCATTGGGATCAGCATTGATTCTTAAACCATAGGAGAAATCCTTCAATGGACCAACATTGATCAAAGAATCTCTGACAATAAATGAGAAGAACTTCTGCATACAAAGGTACAACATTGACTATACAAAAGAAAAAATATGCAGTAAAAGATAGTGATATAGGAAAGATATTGTAAACAGACAATTTCATGAGCATTTGAAGCTATTATAAATAACAATAGGCACATAAACAGTAAGGCAAACACTGAAACACACCCGAATATAGAACAAAATACATCCATGCACTTGAATGGGAATAGACTATCACCAGGCTGATGCGCTGAACATGCACTAGACACAGCAGAAAGCAAATTCATGCAACAAGAATAACATCATGAACAATAAACAAAGTGCATACCAGGCATGCAATCATAGCATAGATGCTAATTGATCAATATCTTAAACCCATGAAGATTATAATAATTCCAGTAGAGCAAGTGGATGTGTATCATTTTGAAATTAATGCCACAGTACAGAAGCAAACAAAAACTGCAGCATCACTGATGTACAGATATGTTGGAGAAAAAACATGTCTGCTTGTGCAGGTCCCACCAATCAAGATAAGACAAGATTGATTCACACAAGCTGCTATTATATGTGCACAAGAATCAAGATATAAGCAAACAATCTTCAAAAAAAGTTCTCTGGGAGCCCTACTTTATTATGGTTCATTTTAATGCATCATACTGAGATTTCTTGCAACAACAATACCAAATAAAACACTTCCTCCGTAAAGAGAACAAACATAAGAACGAGGTGACCATAAGAAAAATTCATATCACAAGCATGGGGCAACCACGGCAACTAAATGCATACATACCTGAGCTGTTTCAGAGCTATCTGGGGTAGTAGTGTACAGAGAAAGCTCCTCACCACTAGCAAACTCTTGTAGAGCATCGGACGGTGTCCTTCGTAAACGCTTTGCTAAGTGGAGATCACCTTCGGTATCAGCAACCTGCAATGTGGAAATGGAACCATAGCAGAATAAGATCTACAAATTGAACCATCAAAGTACTATTTAAAAAATGCCAACCCATTTGAATTATAATTTAAAAAGAGGAATTTAGGCAATACCAAACATAAGTAAAAGGTTTTTGTTGTCAATCGTATGCACATGGTTATAAATGATATGGATTTACAACAACCTAAAAGAACCGTCAGTATGTATGAAACTAATCCTCAAACCAGAATGAACTGACTAATCAAATGGTTTATGACCCTCGCTGCAAACCAAAATAACCAAATAAAAAGTCTTGTTGATAAGTTATGCAGCATGGTTTATAATCCAGAGCCAATAGCAGCCAGCATGGTTCCAGTATAGAACTATTTAACACTTGATACATACCAAACCAGTAAACACCTGGTGGTAAACCCAATATGAAATCAAATCAGACAAAAGCTAGTGGTCCATGTAATGGTTGAAAGTCAAACAAGAAAATACCCATCCATATCGCTAGTATGATCATTTTTTAAGAATTTGACAAAGACATGTATGTTTCTAACATGTAAAACAACATTTAGTCAACAGACATATTCTTGAAGATAAAGACAAGCGACGATCCAGCAACCGGTCTAGATTATCAATTGTTATCCAATATAAACTAACAAACGCAATAGAAGAATAAAGGGCATTGTATCTAACAACAAAGAAGAGCTAAATAACTACTTTCACATAGTCAGACTGCCTTGATGCCAGTATGAGGTGGTGTACCAACACCCGGTGTGACTGGTTATGCCTGGACCATAAAGAAAGAGAGACAAACAGAACAATACAAAGAGAAGAGGGAAGGAAGTAGAAAGGTAGATGGTGGAAGAGGAGCAGAATGAAGATGAAACAAACCGGTAAGGTCATGGCGATGAGACGAGGAAGAGGAGGCACCGATGCAAAGGAATGGAGGGAGAGATAGGGAGAGCCTGACAGAAAATAGAGAGAAGAAAGACAAATGATAGGCACAAGAAATTTAAAATAAGTTGGTAATACTAGTGATAGGCATAATACTAATACAATTACTATCAATTTATCTACCCCATTGTAAACCTGATATGGTGAGACTATGGGAAATAGGTTTAGTTTCAATAAATATTGATCTGTACCGACTACTACATGCAAAATTTAGTACCTTTTTGTCTGATTAGATATCAAAATGACAACCTTCTCCACCCATAAATTCTTGCCATATTTTTCAATTCACATTTGAACTCAAGACCAACAGGGCAAGTAATCTGCTAGTCAATTAGTTAAACAATTACTACGTTCCAATGGCTCAATGTGATTTCCTCAACTGCTGAAGAGCAACTAAACTTGTGATGCATTATATGTATGTTGAAGTCAGAACTCTTTTGATGATTGCTTTCCAATTTTGACATACACCAAAAGTCCCAAATCAGTCTCTCTGTTAGTACTAAATATCAAATTATCTATATTCGAATAACAATACTTTCAACCAAGGATTGCAATTTCGTACTATACCAAAGTTTCAATCTTAGCTCAGTACAATACGATACGAGCATACCGAGCGAAAGCATATCATCATCGCCTCGTTTCTTCTCCACATGCGGGGAGAAGAGGCGGTTTCTTCTCCCCACATCGTCGAGGCGACGTCGCCTCGTTTCTTCTCCCTGCGTGGGGAACGGTTTCTTCTCCCCACCAAGGCTTCTTCTCCCTGGATGGATGAGAAGTCAACGACGGATCAGTGATTACAATAGGCGCTCGGGCACTCGTCTAGGCACTCAGGCAAGGCATGGCCCGAGCGCATCGCTTCATTTCCAAGCGGCGTGCTTCAAAGAGGCGCCGCCTGGGCGCTCGCCCGAGCCCAGGCGTCGGGCGCTTCGGGCGAGCGCCTGGGTTAAACCAAGCGACCGAACCAGATTTTTAGGTTTGGTTGGTCTCTGGTGCTTTAGTTGGTTCAATCGAACCAACTAAATCACCGATATCATGCTCCCTCTTGCGATTTCCCGGACTTCCCCAACCCTAACTATCGCGATTTTGTCGTTGAGATTTCTTCTCCGCTATCGCTGCTCGTCGTTACTGTCACTACTCACCGTTGTCGCTCGCCGCTCGCAGCTCCTGCTCTCACTCCCGTTGTCGTTGCCTCAACAACCTCGATCTTCTCACTATACTGTTAACAATATATCAACAGTATACTACTAACTGTATACTAATAATAATATTTTTATTTATTATATTAATAATATATTATTTTGATTTTAATATTATTAATTTTTATTTATTTAAAATTATTGTTAGGTTTCAGAATAAATTACAAGTGTACAAAGCAACTCAATAGATTTAATATAAAATTTTATTGTTTTGATATTTCAGACTTTTTATTAATGTGACATTGTGATTTTGTACCTGATTTTTTAATTTAATAGTTTTTTTATTTAAATAATTGTATTTATTAATTATATTATATATTTTTATATTTTACACCTTGCTTCGCTCGGGCGAGCGCCTCGAGCGTTTTTGGACCTTAGCACCTAGTGCTTTTTAAATCACTGCGATGGATCGAGATCGTTAAGAGAGAGCGACGTTGGATCTCCAGGTTCTCCCTTTTCTTCTCCCTCTTCTTCCTTCTGCCTCGGCTAATACTGCATGCTACAATAATAGGGCGGAAACAACCCCAATCGACAGTACCACTCGATAGCGAGTGGTCCACGTACCGGTCTGCTGGCGGACCGGTACGTATCGCCCCGTATGGGTGGTATCATTCGAAATTAAAATCTTTGCTTTCAACCACTAATACAATATTCCAGTATAGCTCAATATGAATCAGACAACTACTACAAGATCAGAGTTACTTAAGTGACCCTGCATGGCAATCAGAAATATAAAGTACACCAAGACCACAACAAATATCCTAGCCAATTTTCAAGTATTCATGTTGCAAAAAGTAACTGAGGTAAGAGAAACATTTTACTTTTTCACCTCATCTTTCCCATTTGCAGAAGTTGGACCAGATGTTCCAGTACTATACTGAACAAGAAGACTGTCCCCCAAGCGGCTACCCAAGAAAAAGAAGGAACTACCGATGGTTGTGATGCCCTTGTCAGAAACAAGATTAGGCTAAATCAGAGCAAAGCTAAGCAAAAAGGTGAACCAATAGATTGAAATATGATTATGAAAAAGGCCCAAAATAGCAAGATCCAGAGCAAATACAACTAACCGAGGTCAAAACTGAAGCCTTTGATTTCATGAGTTCAAGTCTCTGCACAACTCTGCAAGGAAGAAGAACAAGATTCAGCAAAATTTATAATCACTATGCCACTCATTTTACATTCGAAAGATAGTGGCAATCAACAAGACTAACTTTGCAGCAGAAGAATGAAAAGGCTATCATGAAATTAACAAACAGCATCATGAGAAAAAACACAATGATAGAAGAATTAGCGACCATTTTCCTCAAGGCTTCGATAAAGTTGATGATTTGCATGCAACACGTAAGATGCCATTGTCTTAAATTTATTATAATTTTATCAAAAAAGTTACAGCAGCAATACCTCCCATCATAAATTAATGTTAGCAGTAATAGATCGCCTGTCTTTGATGAGAACATGGCCACATCAGGTGATAACCATGTCACATTGGCTGCATCAAGCTCCACTGTAAACTTTGCTTTTGGCATTTCTGAACTGAAACAGATATGTATCAGTAAAACACTCATATCTTCCATCAAATTAAATTCCATAAAAAACTACACAGCCATATGGAAGATTTTCCATATCCCATAACAGACATTCTCCCACCACAGCAAGAACATGCAAACAATCACTAAATCAAGTATGAAAACAAGGGTTAACTTTTACCACAGTGTCACATAATAATAATAATAATAATAATAATAATAATAATAATAATAATAATAATGGAATACTGACCAATACCAAGCTATATGACCCCTAATGTTCCTTGGTTGGATCAGTTCTTTGTAAAGATCCAACCGCTATTTAAAACCCTAAACAAGACTATCCAACTGTTTCATTCACAGACAATTTACCAAGACATTAAAAGCCAAATGTTATTGTTGGCTACCAAGCAATTTAATATTTCAAAATCTTTCACGTCAATTTAAGATGAAGATTTCAATACTTTATTATGGACCAGGAATAACTAAATCACACAGTAGAGAGGTGATCATAGGCATGCACATGCACACTCATATAGAAGGATGAGAATGATGTGAAGTGGAGAGAGGAAGAATTCCTCAAATCAATTAAAGATGAAAAAGTTCTGTTGGTTAATTAAACAATTAAAGTTTGCACACAAATGAACATATTAACAGTTCCAAGCATCAAGATCAACGATAACTTGGTTTCTCTAATTACTAGAGAAACAAGAATAAAAACAATGTCTTGGGTTCTCAAAACAATAGCATCTAGTCAGTAGCATAGTAGAATGACTAAAAAGAATATAGTCTACCAGCACCGAATCCTGAAAACCTGGTCCTATTATCGGAAGTCTGTCAAGTTCGGAGAAGAATAAAAATCTGAACAAAAAGGTCAATCTAATGTGAAAAATGTAGATAGTAAGACAAATTATAGCAGAAATTCAGAATGCTAGCCTTGAGAAAAACAAAAAGAGTATCAGTTGTACAATGTCTTTTAACATGTTGAAAATGTATGATAAGACCATAAAAGCAAAGATGTAATACTGGTTCACACCAAATCTAATAACCTATTGGATCAATACAACACCGGTACACTGGGCTATATACCAACCTATACTACTCAATATTATTGAATAAAATAACAAAAGATAGGTCAGTTTTTTTTTCTGCACTTCGGTACACTGGCATATTTATTTTCTGGAAACTTCAGATTTAGGCTTGTTTCTGAGTTGAATTATTTGATTAGATGTTGTTTGGATTAGGTTAAAGTTAAGTTACCATGACTTCTGTCATGTACTGACCTAAGTCTAGTTTGAATTTGAACTGCGTTGGTATCGGGCTACATATCAGAGTCCTGATATAATTGATCGAGAGTCTGGCTAAAGAAAGCAACTGTTATTTTAATTGTTCACTCGCTGTAATATGAAAAGTATCAGTTGCAATAATGCTACAGAAATTTCAGCTCATCAGATCCTTCAAGTGTTATTTTAACTCGAAGTATACTTGGTTATATCTCATCTCAAAAGCAAAAGTACATCTTTGCCTATCTTTGCCTCACCCGCAGGTAAGGTGGATGTTTGGAAAGGCTATTGCCAGAACAACCAGTGTATCTCATGCTGCCTCTTTGCCTCTGCAACCTTGCGTCTTTCTCTGTGAAACCAAGGCAGGAAGGCAATAATACCATAGTGTTCATCTCAAAAGTGAAAGTTGCAAGTTGGATAAAATGTTCCCATTTAGATTGATTATACGGCTTAAGGTTGTAAAAAGAAACTGTCAGTTGACCATATTTACTAAAGTGAAAAAAATAAGCGAAAAAAGCAACAATTTGCAGGAATCCTTCTAAGTCATAAAGCACCCAAGTACCAACTACCCTTGGTCTTGAGAAGTCCTAGAAGAATAAAACTGCGACAGATTGAAAAATTAAGAGTATTGAAAAAGAAAATCCAGATGGAGAAAAAAAATTTTAAAAATATTCATACCAATGTTTGAAATACCACCTGTAAGGATTAGTACAGGCAGTATATGCATGTCCAGCAATCTACTGGTACGCGGACCAGGCCCGGTCCAGAGTATATACCACTGCCACAAGACCTCTACCACCCAGTACATGGCAATACATAGCCCTGCACCAGACAGTTTCTTTTTTTTTTTTTCAGCTTTTCTTTTCATGCTTCTTCTGAAACTTGGTACACACCAGCAATACCAGTATTCAGTACACCAATATAGACCTGTCCGAGGCCTGACCGGTGCACTACTGGTACACAAAACTGTGAACCTTTATTCACACATATACACATTTACCCACACCAGACAACTTTGGAAGGAGCATAATGCACTAGGTTGCCCTTTTGCCTAAAAGAAATGGCAGACATATTTTCTATATTTTATAATAAATTCCTATAAGTTAGATTCTAATAAACATATTTTCTCAGGTTTCAAATAAGAATCTAGTATTAGACTGGTAAACAAACTTGATAATTGTACTGTAATAAAATTAAAAGGTCAACATGACAATGTTATGAGTTGTGACGAAATTGTTCACGATTCCATAGGCAAGCCCAAGACAACTCAACACGCAGATCTGCAGCATTGTAAATAAATAGTTAAAATATGGAGTTGTCAGACAATACCTGCCTTCTGGCTGGGTAGCAAAGCTGTTGAGGGCAAGCGAGCAAGTGGCGGACTGCAAATCACCAAACCAGGATGAAAAACAAGTGGAAGAAAAGTACAGATAGGAAACACTACAACAAAACATCTCAAAAAGAGAATGAATGACCTGACTGTGGTAATGAATAGTATTGGCACAGATAACAAGAACACCACCAATAGGAGAAGGCACAGCGAGAAGTTTGTTTGCATCATGAGGAATATTCTGAAGAAAGAATAACTTCTCAGAAGAACAATCAGAATATAATAAAAGTGGTCAGAAATGAAATGCTTAAAGACATATGCAGAAGCAAAATAACAGAACAATTTATTGGCTGTAGCTGGAGCACAAAAAACCAAATTGATAGAAAGAACAAGCAACCATTCCATTTTCAGCCATCAAAGTTCTCCCAAAGAAGAAACATACTGGGCCAGTTCCTACAAAATGGCACACATCCAATGATTCAACAAAATCATGACTGGAGGGTGCCCTCTACAGCATGGTATTTTATAGCAACTCGGCTTCATTTCAACCAAACAGGAGCTTCAATATCTCAAATAGAAAATAAAAAACAAAAGTGATTTAAGGATGAAAATATTATCTTCTGCTAGTCATTCAAACAAATGATCTTAAAATCAATAAAATCATATATCCGCTTAATTCTAGGAGTCGGGTAGCACCAAGCACAAATATAACAAACACAGTGGTCAACCAATGTGGACAACAGATGAACATTCTGATCCAAATCCAAGCTGTCTCCATTAAGGATTCTGCAAGATTGGACTTTACCACAAAATATGACCATGAAGGTGCTGTACTGGCATACCTGGGAAGCAATACACAATAGTGAGGTAACACTGTGTCGATATAGTACATGATTCAATCATCACACCTTCATGCAAACCAAAGAGTACCACGTCATGTTACCACACGACAACATATTCCTAAACTCATTAGTCTTGGCTACAGAATCCGAAGACATTGTACATGCTCCAGAATATAAACATAGTTCACATACAACTTAGAACTCTTTTCCAATATTGGCAAGCCAACCAAATTTTTGGGGAACATTGATTAGGGAACAATGTAGTACCTGTAGTATCTAAACCTTATTTGGTAATAAACTAATAATACGAATGGAACGGATCATGCTAAGAAAGTTTACAAACCCATTGCTACTACATGCATATCACAAGTATATGACACAACACAAATTTAAATTAGGTTTTAAGTTTTAACTTATGTCCAAATTTAATGAAGTCAAGACTCAAATAGTCTAAATTGAGTAGCTGGCCATTGTTTACTTGTTATTTAAGAATTTTGGTGGTCATTTTGTAACCATTGGCAAAGGGTTAGAGCAATAATTACGATTGGTGTTTAGGATTCTACTTAGATATAAATTGAATCAAAGAATGAAGTCATTTGGATTCGATTTTGAAAGTTATGTGTCTCTTAATATAGAATTTTATGATACAACAGATTTTATATCAAATAAACAAAGGATAGACATCACGTGAATTTCCAGATGATAAACTAGTCCTCTCTATTCACTAACAGGCAAAACGAGACAATTGTCAAGCAATCTTGGATAAGTGAATCCAGCAAAAATCTGTTCAAAAGAGAAAAAAAAATTAAAACATGGTTTTGTTACGCTTCAAAATCAGTAGAGCTTCAATGTGATGGTTTTCAAATGGCAATATATAAGGTAGTAGGAACAAGCATGTTGGAGACACGGGCATTCTGCTAATGAAATCGATTCAAACGAATTGAACCGCACAAGCACCAAAAGGTAAAGTTATTATTAGAATCTTCCATGCAATGAGCTACAGGTAATATAGCAACCATTCCAACATAACTTACCTACTGCACAGAAATGAACTAAAAAACCTTCTAAACCTACATGTGGATCTTCTGGTAGACAGTTTAAAAATGATGGTATGTGCTAATCAAAAGGGTAATGCTTTGGGCACAACCAATTCCGCATGACAAAAATAATAAAAAAATTGTCTGTGGCAAGGTTTTCCAAAGCTTAATGTCCCAGGAGTAGCTAGCAATGCTGATGAACATAACAGAATTGCATGCCATAGCAGCATGATAATAACAATGTTGAATCCTGGTTTATATGGCTGCTATTATTTTTTCATGAACTAAAACTTCAGCACGGGCATCATCAATTATGTAAAACTTACTGAAGCGGACCATATCATAGGATGCTGTTTAAGAGTCGTGCTGATGCTAAGTGCAGATATCATGCATGTGTGATGCTTCCACGAGATTCGCCCAGCCCAAGTAGGTTCTTTTTCATGAAGTATGACCATAACAGGCTCGATATAACCTGCCCATGTCAGTAAAAGCTGAAAAACAATCTTGAATAAGCTAATGAAATAAAAGAAAAGCAGCAATGCTGATGTGCAAAATTCATTATATATAATGATTAGATAAATTCAACTCAGATAACAAGACATGATGAATCAATTAATAAATATTGTTTTCATCATAGCATTCATAGTTGTGAACTGAAGCGATGAGGACTGCATTACAACATACAGAAGGCCATCCATTTAACGCATCCTAGAAAGGAAGTTTAGCACATTGAGCTGTGTAGGTAGTCAGCCACTAAACCACATACAGTTGTACCATGCTAGCTACTGCTATGCACAGGTATGGAAGCATGTCAAACAGTTTGCTAAAACAGCATCCAAGTATGTGAGTTAGAGAACTATAGACTTGAACAAGAACAGGTCACAGAATTCCCTGTGTAGGTAGACTTAGAAAGGAAGTTTAGCACATTGAGCTGTGTAGGTAGTCAGCCACTAAACCACATACAGTTGTACCATGCTAGCTACTGCTATGCACAGGTATGGAAGCATGTCAAACAGTTAGCTAAAACAGCATCCAAGTATGTGAGTTAGAGAACTATAGACTTAAACAAGAACAGGTCACAGAATTCCCTGCCAACAAGATAGACACTTGACCTATTATTCGCTGCATCAATTTTAAGTTAAAGCAAAATATCACTTATTTATGTAAAATTTCTGGTTTTCTTTTAAGGCGGCTCAAGGTCAGGTAGTGTTCTGGATGTACTTTCCTCCCACTCCTATCTAATTTTGTTTCAGAGATTTAAACTAAATTTAGGCTACTCTTATTTTCAGTAAAAAAAATTACATAGAATAACAAAGTGTGCACAATCTAATAGGTGCACATTTTTCAACTGGTTGAAAGCTCACATTGTGATAGCAAAGATTGAAAAGAAAAATGTCTGCCGTGAAAACAACAGCAGGCACGATGACAAATAGAGTAGATAAAGATCGCAACTTCTTATGATGTCACGAAACACATAATAACAGTCTCTTCTACCTAGATGGTGATTAGTGTTTATAGACTAAGTAGCTACAGGATGATAGAGCTGAGTCCTAAACAGATATTTATTAGTGAGAAAAGGATTCAGCTATCCCTCCCTGTGATTGGCCACTACATAGAAGGCTAAAGCAAGGAATTTCAAATTGCTCTTGTATCGTGATTGGAGTATGGAGGTACCGACATTATATCATGCATTGTGATTTCAGGCAAAACACCATATCTTGCACCAGCAAGACAATGCAAAATAGCAAGTGATCAACAAGCTGAGGTAGCCTAAGCAATCATTGTGAATGTGAGTGCCCAATAAAGTAAGCAATTCTTTCGGCTGCAGAAGGATGTGAATTGGAAAAACAAAAACAAAAACCTCCTGCCACTAGACAAATGCAGAGATGTAGGTGCCTTATTTTTGTACATCTTCATCTATCTTCATCTTCATCTCGTTAAGCATTCAGTGAAATATAAGGATGTAGGTCATCAAAATGACCCAAGTGCCAACCTAATCATGAAAGAGTCCAAAATGAAACCATAGACTCGTACTAGTTGTAGTGTGCCTTATTTTTGTATCTTGGTGTGTAGAATTAGAATATATTAATTGATAAAAGCATCATAACGTTTGATAGCTTGTTTCAAGAAGTAAAAAAGAAACAAGTTTTAACTCTCTCTAGCACAAAATTTGTAACAATTTCACTTTCTTATTACCTAATAACCATAAACCACCTGTCTCAGATGAATTTCTGCAATTTATCATAAAAACATACAGTATTTGCCAAGTTTCATAACTGGCCACCATCTTGCTGCTTGGTGATCCAAAGCCAAAAGAATTCAAAATTTTCAACAGTGGCCAGATCACAAATTTAAGTCAAACCAAGTAGAGTTTAGAGAACAAGTACAGAAACATGTCTAGTTTAGGTTGTATTTTAGTAAACTTGGCTCAGTTTTGTGTTAATATAAATGTGAAGTAAGTCAACAGGTTTATAACACCTTAAGATCAGTTGCTGCAGCTTGAACAATATTATTCACTGTAACATTAGCAGTAATGGTACCTTGCAAGCAAATATTTTAGCTAGGTTCCTTGTACCAGAGGATGCAATTATCTACTAGGAGAAGGGTGCAGCAAAATGATTTTGCCCCTTCCAAGAATTGATGCAACATAGAAGTGCCCTTTACAGCCATGAAAACACTTTTTCAGAGTTCATCAATTAAGACTTCGTTAGATTTCAATTCAGATTTGATGTAGTTAGATATTTAGATGTGTTTCGGTCAGATTTGCCTTTATTTTGGTTAGGTTAACCATGTGTTTTTTGATAATTAATTGCTATGTGATAGAGTTTAAGATAGACTGTAAGTCCAGGTTTTTAGGTTATACTTGGCTGAGCAATATAGCATGAATTATTTAGTTTTGTCTTTCCTATCTTGGATCTAAGATTGCTGGTTTAAATAAACAATGTGCCTCAAGCCACTTTCTCATCTTAGCCTTTCACTTCCCCTACTTCTCTCTTTCCAGTTTTAATCTCCCAACAACTTATAGAAAGCAGTACAGACTAAGATCCTTGTGGAATTTTATTTGATGTGCCAATATCCAGTTGCCATGGCCTCTAATCTCTCTAACAACCCTATGTTTGAATGTAATTTGGTCTGCTGCAGCCTGAGACTGCATCAAGAGTCCTACATATGATAGTAATGGAGTTAAATTCACGTATTTGTAAATGAAGAAATTTGGCTGTAAAGAGAATGGAATTTACAAGGCACAAAAGTGTAGGCCTATTGGCCCTCCCTTCTCTCTTTTTTTTTTCTCATTCTCCCCTCATAACATTTTTCAACTTTTTCTCTCTTATCCTCTATCCTCCTATTTGTTCAACGATAGGGACACTCAATCGGCTGATTCTTCAACCAGGAGCCACCGATCTAGTATTTTCTACTTGACAATGACAGGTTTGCCAATTGTTTAAGACTGAAAAGCCAAAATGCAGGTCAATTTAAATCCTAAAGTTGGCTGCTGCCACAAGCAACCCAGGGCCAATATAGAACATATGCAGATTTCAGAATCTAAAAAGTATAAACCAATTGATTCCAGAATTCTATATCAAGCATGTTCCTTGTGTCATTATCATCATAAACCAAGTCCAATTGAGACAAACATTGCCAACCATGATTATATGGACATGCACGAAATCAACAATCAACAATCACGGGTTGAATGGAAGCTGCGCTACATTCAGACCTGACCTGGTTAACAGAAAGATATTTATCTTCCCATGACCCCTGTGATAACAGTTGGATTTGAATCCCTCACCTTTAGGCCTTGCCACATATCATAGTGCCCATCACTTTCTTCTGGGGAGATCCATTAATGACACTTTCATGTGGGGTGGAAGGTTATGTGGAGTTTTCTGGTAGTACCCAGAGTCAAAAACATCTACGGAAACTTTTGTGGAAGCGACTCCCAACCTCCGAATGGATCCCATCTATCCTCCACAACTACATCATCTCTTGTCCCATCCATACTCCAGCCAAGATTTCATCACTCACATCTTTTTTTAATGCATTTTTGCAAAGAATTTTTGTCATTTGGTTCAGTCCAAACTATCCTGCGCTCATCAATCCTTTGACAACTGGATCAGTGGATCTTTCCTGGATGAAGGCAAGTATTTGGACAAACTATCTGCTGCTTAGTTAAGAGCTCTAATAGCAAATAGCCTTGGGTTCATTTGGAAACACAAACAACAGTCACTTTGCAACCCCATTTCTAACCTATCTCCTTCACTCAAGGAACTAGCACTAATGAATTATTCTTCTCTTTCCAAAAAAGTTTCTGTGGGTCGCCATGGGAATGTTCATCTAGAAAATGTCGTTGACTTCTCTCCGAAATCCTGTTTTACTTTTAAGTTGTGGTGACTCATTTGCATATAACACTTCCACTGCAGGAACAGGTGGCAACATCTCATGGCACCTAAAGAACTTCTGTCGTGGTACTTTTTTGTTACTCCAAAGCTGTTTTAGTTCAGCAATGGACCTATGTCCCTAGGTCTTTGAACACTTCTGCTCACAAGTTGACAAATTTTGATAGACAAAATGTAACCAGTGGATTTTCGCGAGGTTCAACCTGTCCTGATATTTTGTACAATGTTCTCAGGAGTTAACACTACTTAATTTCAAGGGCAAAAAAAAAGCAATCACAGGTCGAATGGAAACAGCAGATAAGTAATTGATCATACAGGCAACCAGTGTTAAATACGATACAAGATATATACAGAAACTAGCCATTCTTTTGCATTCATAATGCGAAAGTAATTACTAACTGAAACATTTCTGATCTCTGCATCTAAGATCTAACCAGCAAGTTCAGATGTTGAAAAAAGTGGAACAAGATTAAGCAATGGTTAAATCCAGCTAGAGTTCGATGTGACCCAGCCTTATATTCATCACAAACTGATGCACATAGTTTTGCTTACCATGAACAAAGGTGAAATCCTTCACATGCTTCATGTCCAAATCACGCAAGTTTATTACATATGATGACTCAATTCGAACAGAAACTGCACCACCGGTGCTAGTAGGCTCATCATCTCCAACCAACCCTTGACCAACCTAATAAGCAAGATTGTTGAGAACCACAAGGACATCATGAAGATGCATTTCAAGAAAACAAAAACAGAGAGTCGACACTCTCAAGTGACTAAGATACATATTTAAGAGAGAGTATGACTAGTAAAGGACAGCATATAGAATTTAAACAAATTGGGCAGGAGTACCAATTGTTTGAACTTTGAAGTATTGTTTGCAATGCTTAACCACAATGAACAGGCATAATATAATAATGCATGCACAAACATAAATACAAAAGGAAGCAAACTAAATAAATAATTATACAAACAATTGATGGAATAAAGAACATGCTTCAGTTGACATCTTATTGATGCACCACACATCTGATAACACATTTTTTATCATATTATCATAAGCAATTATTTTAATTGCTATTTGTTCCTATTGGATATTTTTGGCTCAGATTAAGAGCTTATTTGCATTTGGAAATCCTTTCTAGATCTGAGATAATGAGGTAGCTAGAGCAGTATTTGAAAGATTCAGATTCAAATGCATGGTTAAGTAGCTTGATCATTTCTCATGATGTGTGTGTAATTTGTTTAGAAATATATTTTAAAAAAAAATTGCATGATGAAATGTTGAGAAATGGTTGAAGGACTGTACAACTTGGTTGACATTTTAAGTCATACGGGGGCATAATAATTAGAACCCAAGTAATTCAAGCCAATTCCAAGACATATATCCGATGATGATAATGTGACCAATCCAATTAGACATCGATCCTACAATCAATGTCAATCCCAAATCTATTTTTGATCTCCCAAACCTCTAACTTGAGCAACCTAACATCTAAACAACTTGTTCAATGTGTTAATTATTAAAACCAAGGTGTTCAATTCTAGGTAATGAACCCATGCTGGCCTGGTCAGACCAATATGGGCCTGGTCCATTCCAGGGTACCGACTCACGTTATGGCATAACATACAGCAGTATTGTTGGGGAGGGAGAGGGGGAAGGAAGAAGGAACAGAAAGAGGGAAAAAGACGAGCAGGAAGGAAGATGGTGGAGGAATAGAAGGAGATATGCCAGAGTGAGCAGTAGGACAACAATGAATGTGCAGGTGGTGGAGGGCACGATGGTAGCAACAATGGGGAGGAAACTCACAAGGAGGCATGCGACTCCTCATAGGCCCTAGTGTCACGGACTTTGCTAGTTTTGCCTAAGTCGTGCGGCACACTTGCGTGTCCGTCCGCAAAGGTCAGCCTCCCTGAAAACTCTCATGATCCCTTAGGACCTACAAAAGAGAAAACAGGTTAGAGAAAGCATCTCACTCGGGATCCACAAGCAAACATTCCCAAAAACACTTCATAGACAATGCAAATTACAAACATACTTTACAAGCTCTGAACAGTTGCACAACAAAGGGTCAAAATGGTCCACTACAGACCGAATATCTCTCACTGGTGTCCACATGACACAACCTTCATTTACAAGCCTAAAAAGGCCACCAAACCTAACTAAAATGGGGTTGTTAAGCCTTCGACCATTCCTCTACATGTTGTGCAAAGCATGAACAAACAAAAAGACACGGACATACATAAGTATTACATCAAACATCCTGTTTAGAACGTTGTTCGTGACATTCTCCCCCACTTATTCCTTCGACGTCCTCGTCGAAGCCTTTACCGACACTGCAACTCCTCGCCTTTACTGAGTCTTCAATCTTCTGCTCCAACTGCAATGCGCCTCTTGGCTCCTAGCTGCTCTCCGCTGCTGTTTTTGAGTAGTCGAACCTTTAATCCGTCATGCTGCTTCAACTCGCCAATGACTCTGATTCTAGTGTGGGGTTGGCTGAGTTGTGTTGATCCCTGTTAGTTCCTACGGATCCTCCAGATGAAGGAAAAGATCATCCTTACTATACGCCAGTCTCTCAAATGCCTCATGCTTTTCGAACTGGGTAGATGCTTGTTGGAGCTTTAACGAGCATCATCTTGCAAACTTCTGAAGTTTTGGGTCCTTCCTCCACAAAATTTGCCTATTGACTCTTCTTTCACTTAGTTGTCACTTTCAAGTAGATTCGCATCACTTTCGCTTTCGATTGGCATTTTGTTGAGAAAATGAAGCGAATAATCTACTCTCAGTAGCACTGATCACCATTGGTGAGGATTTGACAACTATTATCTTCTAATATCTTCGAAGGGTCTTTGAACATGTGCAGAGCTCCTCTGCTGGATAGATAAGAGAATTGGGATACTCGGTTTTGCCCATTCTCTTAAGAGTTGAGAAGACAATGGTTACTTGACTTCGCCCGCCTCCTCAAGGGTTGTACTCCATGCATCGAGCTGGTTACTGGCCTTCGCTTGCTTTTTGCTCATACTTCTGAAGCACTCGAAGTGTTTGCACTCCTTGCATTGAGTTAGCTACTGTGATTTACCTTCTCAATGCCATCGAACTTCTAGAATGCCGGAAGTTTTCACCCCAACTTGGAGTAATTCTCTAATAGATTTGATCGCCTCTGGGATTGTACCGTCTTCTCCATCAACCCTGTCGCCTACTCCACTGAGTAGCAAATGTACAACACCGCGTACGGCCTACTTCGATCCTTGGTCGTGCACTCTTGCATGACCCGAAGTCCTTCACTTTTGGTTATCTTGATGAGAAGCTCGTTGACACCGATCTTACGAAGTTCCTTGGCCTTTGCCCTTCAACCTTGTCTCGGTGCTTGGAGTTTGCCTCTACATGCTCCACCTCCTTGGCCCCTTTCACGACCAAGCGTTATCCCTCCATGAGAGCAAGGGATCAATGACCTTCACGGAAGTCCCGCCTCTGTGGTACCATGGCGCTATCATGCCCATGGCCCTACTATCCGTCGCCTCGCATCTACATCTCTTTTCTTCACGATCAGTGGATATGTCTCTATGGCACTCCTCCGAATCCACCTCCATTCTAACTGATGCTTGATTTTGGGTAGCTAAGTCCCTCTAGACTCATCGTCGCCTCCTCACCCCTTTCGACCCCTTGCTTCAACACCTCTGTGTTCTCCAAGCAGCTCCCTTTGGTCGATGGAAAGACGGACTGCAACTCCCATGCATGGCCTCTACCATCACGTTGTAGGGTTTGCATCGATTCTATTCTCCTTAGCTTCCTTGGTAGCAACGTTCGCTTACTCGACCTTGTCCTCTGACTTGCCGGGCTCCTTTAAGCGAATATGGGCTCTGGAGCAATCCAACTCTCCAGTTGTTTCGATAATACCTTTGTATGATCAAGTCCCTCCCATGGGACTCACTGATATTTGTATTCGAACTTTTCCATTGGTGGAACACAACCCTCATATGCTGATGACCAAAGCTTTCATCCGATGCAAAATTCGATGCACGCACGGAAGACCCGCCTCTGCGGTACAATGACCTTCACTCCTTGAATCCATAACCCTTCTTGCCATCGTGTTGTTCACCGAAGTAGAGCTTCCAATAGCTCCCGATCATACCTCCGTATGATCTAGTCCCTCACGGGATTGTATCGTGTGTACCGCATTGCCACGAACTGTTCCACCATGATCCGCTACACCATGTCGCCTCCTGGTAACATCTCTATTGCATTCTGATCCTTATGGGATGAACTTGAATTGTGATCCCTCCATGTGTGGCCTCTGCCAATACATCGCAAGGTCTCTTCCACCTTCGATTTTGTTCGCTCCTTTGGCAATCGACCTTCATCCACCTGCTCTTAGGTCACACCAAGATGAAGCACCGCTCTAGGACAGTCCGCCGCCTAGTAGCCCCGGAAGTCCACCGACTTCACTGAAAATGGTGCACCATTGTCTGGATCCTGGGCCTCTGCCCCTACCAGCACAATCTCCGCCGCGCACCGCTTCCTTCATGGCAACTTGAATGGCAACACTGTGGCATATTCTTCAAGAGTACCCGCCTCCGCGTCCTCTTGCCCCGTGCCAAGGCCTTCTGAACCCAACTTCGCCTCCGCAAGTTGAGTCGCCTTAGTTCCTCCGTCAAATGCTTCTCCGAGATAAGGTACATGTGCCCAGACACTCCCTTCATCTTTGACACCATGCAAGATGAGTCCACTCCATCAAAATGAAAGACACATAGAACAACATGATCTTGCTCTTGCCTCTGCAAGAGTTCATGTCCTTGACCTCTGTCCAAGAAAAGCTCTGTTCCTCCGCTTCATGTTCCATCTTCTATGTCGGCTCACTTTATGCGGCTTGGGTACTTCGCCAAGTTACACCCAAGTTGCTCCGCTCCTCATTTTGCATTGAGTTGATGGTGGCCCACGCGCCCACCATTCCACGGGTCAGCCCTCCCTTGAGTTTGATCTCCATATCGACTCCAAGTGTGTCTTCATTTGTGTTGCTTTGGATCGCTCCCCCACTTGATCTCGCAATGCATCCACCAATGCATTCTCTCAAACGAGATGATGCGACGACTCTTCGCCGCTCGCTCGATCCATTGAGCTTCGTGGAGTTGTTGTTTTTTAGGTACTCCTCCTCAACATGTGCAATCTATTGCACATGATTCTCCCCCTGGAGAGCCGGAACTTATCCCTTCTGGATATCTATCCCGTTGGAGCAACATCTCTCTTCGTTTCGAAGACCACCAACCCCTTAGACTACTCTGATTTGCTGAACAAACTGCGCATTGTTCTACCTCCTGCAAACGCACTTGCTAGATTACGACTCTACATCAATATAGCCCCCACTGCACCACTCAAGGCCTAGCAACATGCTGAACTCGCTGCACACTTTAGCTTCCTACGGACGTATCCTTCACATGCCGAAGAGAAAGTTTCAATACTCCATGGCGCCGAGTTTCGGTTGCCTTGGGATGGCCGCGAATATTCCATCGTCCGCATACAAGCTCATGCATTAGTACCGAATTCTTCGAGTTAGCAATTTCCCTCACCTCTATGGGCTTTGCACAACTCTTTCGATCGTTGAGCAACCCATTCCACCTTGCATAGTCTTATCCTTTACCAAGCGCCTCGTTTGCCTTGAGCACCATCAAATATAGTTGTCAACGTCAAGCCGTAGCTCGAACTCAACCATCACAACCTTTGTACACTCCGCATTCTTCCCAGCTTGCTTGTCCTCGTGGTGCCTCTTGCGCGAAGGGTTGGCCATTCCTCAGAATACCACTCTCAGATGCCCGCTCCTCTGAGCGACTCCTTTTCTCTACATCTCCATGCCCGCTTTCCCCCAAACGATCGCGCGTGTGCTGACTGCCCTCAACGCAGCCTTGTTAGGTATCCCACATTTGCATGCCAAGTGTTTCTATGAGTGCTTGTCCCGCTCTGATACCATCTATCACGGACTTAGCTGATTTTGCCTAAGTCGTGTGGCACCCATGCGTGTCCGTCCGCAAAGGTCAGCCTCCTCGAAACCTCTCATGGTCCCTTAGGACCTATAAAAGAGAAACCGGGTTAGAGAAAACGTCTCACTCGGGATCCACAAGCAAACATTCCAAGAAACACTTCATAAACAATGCAAATTACAAACAGACTTTACAAGCTCTGATCAGTTGCACAACAAAGGGTCAAAATGGTCCACTACAGACCGAATATCTCTCACTGGTGTCCACATGACACAACCTTTATTTACAAGCCTAAGAAGGCCACCAAACCCAACTAAATGGGGTTGTTAAGCATTCGACCATTCCTCTAGATGTTGTGCAAAGCATGAACAAACAGAAAGACACGGACATACACAAGTATTACATCAAACATCCTGTTTAGAACTTTGCCCGTGACACTAGTGCGACTACTCCTAGCAAGAAATAACATCACACTTTTAAAAAAAAAATCGAGTGGACCAGACCAAAGCAAGTTTCAAGCACTTTGTATCCCGATCGTTGTCGGGACCGATAAATACCACGAAACTGAACCGATAAAATTTAAAAACCTTGATTATAACCAAAGGAAAACAAGCTTAAGGTCCATACAAAATCTCCATATGTTCCCTCTTACCCACGTGCAAAATTTGAAAAATCACCATCATAGCACTAGATCCTCAACCTTTAATATAAGGCACAATCCGTAGAATCCAACAAAGTTGTGTACGATTTCAGAGGCACTAGGCTTATAAAGGTGACTCCATAAACAGATAGTAGCATGTTGCTAAGCATCAATAAGAAAATCCAACTGCAAGCATCACAATTAATTGCCCACATAGATACACTAGATACAGATGGATGGGTGAAATACCAAGAAATGAGTTACCAAGATTTATACCAATGTGCTAAAGTAGTTATGACAACACAACATATAACACAATTGCAATGGTTTAGAAGAGCACTTGAGTCCATGATTGCTACTGCAAAATCCTACTTCATATATCATAAAGGATGGTTTGACCAGGGAAAATCTGAACTACAATAACCACAAGATTCTTGCATTACCCTATGAATGGAATAAGATAAAAGCAAAAATAATATCATAATTCAAAACCCAATACAAACCAACAAATTGACCTTTTTGGCAACATCAATTAAATAACATTAGATCCCTATAAGAGAGAACATAGCAGAAGTTCCAAATTACTGCAAAGGTTTCTTTAAGATAAGGTACCAACCATGTGATCGGAAATAGTATGGGGCATTCTGTTTCCAATGTTGGTATGTTCAGCCTTAATAGAAGAAGGTGACATGAGATTCATAGAATTCTTTACCAAACCAGTTGAAAAGGACCAAAGACCTTCAATATCTAAAAATATTGTTGACAAGCACAAAGCAATCCACATTAAAGTCCCCTGAATGACTTTTGCATTTACCCAGAACAGGTGGTGCACTATAAAATGGAAATCCTTGATTTTCAAATAAGTCAATATGATGATCTATATGAAACAATTAAGGGCAATTTAGGCCCCAACAACAACCACCAAAGCCTAAACCTTGACAAGAAACTAAAAAATGTATTGCAAAATATGCTTGACTATAGTTTCTTTAAAAGGCCTAAAGATAGTAAAGAGTAAAAAAGAAGGCCTTAATTTTCAACTTTAAAGATAATTCTAGATTCAAATAATTAATGGGACTAAACAAGGGCACCTATCCAGGTAAGATCAGCGAAGGGCCATACACAAGCAATCTTAACTTCATAAGCAAAGAGGTTGTTTCCATGAAAATTCCAGATTCAATACATAAATCATGTTAAGCTTTATATCTCGTACCTATTAGGCATGTAAGACATACTTTCTTGTAAATTTACTATTATCCAAGAAACTTGAAATTCAGCCAAGAGAAATAACTTTCGTGCATAACTTAAATAAAATATGTTATTGATGTCAGTTTAGATATCCACAAAACACGATCATGAAAACAATAACAAAAGAGAAATCTGAACGCAAGTTGGTACCTGAGCAGCCTTCAAAACAATCATCTGAAGCCCATATATAAGTGCTCCACTGCAACGACCAAGGGGATCTGCCTTTACTACAGGACCCCTTGCAAAAGATTCTCTACCTCTCTTTAAATAAAGCCAGTCCGGTCCCTCAAAGCAGTGCATTGAACTAGAGAAATAATTGGAGAAAAACTCTTAAAAGTTTGCCTTGAACAAAAAATATCAACAATCAAGCAGCTTAGCTTCTTAAAAGCACGTAAAGAGCCTAACTTTTTAAGGATAGCACATAATGTCTAAAGATGTTATAATTTTTTTAGTAGAACATTAAAAAAATTCCTAGCAATTATTTCAGATATTTGATAAGAGAATTCAACTAAATAATACCAAGAATTCCAAGGTTACAAAGTAGTGCATTTGATATCTTATAGCATTTATTAAAAAGGCAAAAAAACATGGAAGCATACTTATTTCATATAAATGCTTTATAAGTGGCTCCTCATCATGTTCACATTTATATGGACTTTCATGCTCGCTATAGACTGCTATCCATTAGAACAATAAGATCAGCAGGTCACAGCAAAGCAGCCATATATATGCATAGCAACATGCAAAAACTTTTATTTATTTATTTTGATCTGAATTCTGACATAAATTATAGTGATTTTATGTTGGTTGGTTATTAAGTCTGGAAGGACTACTGTATCACAAAATTTAATATGTTCCACCTATGATCAATGTTAAGACCTTGCATGTATCATGGAGGAAATTCTTTAAGAAATAACAGTTAATTAATTTTAGATAGACTAGACTTTGATCTTTGTAAAGTGATCATTGACTAAATAATCCTCATTTGTCATACTCACAAACTTCAGCATACATGAATACAAGGATATGTGAATTTGAGAAAATTTTAAAACAATGTAGAAAGAGTAACCCTATAAACCACACAAGGCTAAGAAGCCTCTCTAAATGACTGCAGTCCAATTAGTTCTCCTAAGGGACAATTCGCCAAACTAAGCTCTTCAAAAACAAACTTAGTGCTGCAAATTCTAAATTTAGTGGCCATAAAGAAATGACAGAATAAATATTTTGTGTATCTTAATTGGTAAATTGTTCTATCACTCCAAAAGTACAGGAAGGTTATATGCAAACATCTCACCTAGTACGCAATTCATGGGATGAATCATCATATTCCAGAACTGTAATTTTTGCATCTTGAAATGCTAGCATTATTGAATCTCTTCTCTTGTTGTGGTCATCAACTCCAAGAGACAGTATCGCCATTGATTCAACATTACCATGCAAACTAGAGAAGAAAAAAAAAACTAAACTGTTAAGAACTTGATGAACTGCTAATGTTCAATAATCAAAATAAATGTCAACATAAACCAAAATGAAAGGTACAGAATGTATTTTTCAAGCTTGTCAAATAAACCAGTGGTGACTAAGACATGTCTAAGAAACAGTAGGCATTTGTGCAGAAGCATTTTAAGTTAATTGTAAATTTTACACTTAGATGAAATACTATCATTTTTACAAAATTCAAAAAGCTTTCAAATAAAGAAAATCAGTAACAAAATTATAAAATAACTAAACAGAATTTTAGCATCATGATAATTGAATAATTAAAAAAACATTTGAAGTAAAAAACAAAGCAACTTTTTAACATGTCTGAAAGTAGACTTTTGGCATATGATAAACATTTGAAGGACCATAGCTTGTTAAGATACTAACTGGTGATCTTAGCTAGATGACTAGGCAATGGATCAGACCCATCAGGTCAGATTGAGAAGTGGTAGTTACAATCACTAGGATCGAATCCATAACCAGCATAGCTAGCTTGTTGCAAAAGAACTTGTGACTAGTCCTGATACCTTATGCCTAATGTTTACAATAGGTTGACTATGTTGGGCCAGCGAGTTCGGTCAATTTATGTGTTGTTTTAGCTTCTTTTCTAAGGAAAATGCCGCAAACAAGTTATGTAGGTGCACCATAATTAACCAGCATGTATTTAGATTGCCACATGGTGGCATTTTGCAGCCTTTTTCCAACCAGTAAATCAAGTCAAAAGAACACAGGCTTTCCAACTAAAGCATATCATTAGCAAACCAGAAATGTTGTTGATAATAGAAATCATCTATTAGTTAGGATACAGGAGAACATATATAAAATACTACGAGTGGAGGATCTCAAAAGGTTCCCCTAGTTTAGTTCACAAACTCGTAAGCTAATCAAATAATTTTACATTGTAATTTTTTTAAAGGAGACACATGCCCAAAGTACTCCCATGTTTGGTTTTTCTGAGGAGCCTTGGGTGCAATCGAATAACTATTACCATTTTTAACAGAAGAGAAGAAAGATGTTCTGGAGAACTGCTACAACAGATGTTGCCAGATGACAGTTTGCAACTTTGTCAAAGGGCGTAATTTAAAAGTAGCATCCCAGATGGAACAGCACGAACATCCGAGAAGCCTAAATTTTTGAAGTGGAAAAAGAGAGAAAGAGAGAGACGGCACACCGGTAATGGCAGACGAGCTCAAGCCGAGCACCAGCGAGGCCATCCATGGTGCCACCTCCGCCATGCTGGTCGCCGGTGGGCCGAGGGATCCTGTCATCATCCTCCTGGATCCTAACGAGGTAGACCTCCAAGATATTGGCCGCGGTCACGACGAGGTTGGGGACGGGACCGACTCGCCTCTGGGTGGGCCACTCAGAAGAGTCGAGGTCGTCGGCCTGGGCCGGGGGAATCTGCGGGGGCGAAGAGTCGGAAGGGGAGTGGGTGATGAACCCAGAGGCGCAGTGCTCGATGCCCGTCGGCCAGTGCATCATCTTGAACGCCGCGTAGCTCATCTTGGCCCTACTAGGGTTTTTCTTTAGGGTTCTTGATCGCCGTCGTTCTCTAGGGTTCGGAACCCAAGACGAAGACCAGGAACGAGAACCCCGAGCGGATAAGCGGAGTGGTGCAAGAGCAAGAGAGAGTGAGAGAAAGAGAGAAGTGCCGGGGAACCCGAGGATTTAAGCTGCGCTTGAAACGCCGAAAGTTGGCGGGACTAGCGGGAGAAGCAGAAGATTTAGGGCACGCGCGCTGTTGAAGAAGGCGAGGATAGATGCAACCCAAACGCACAAAGGAAGGGTCAGATTTGGGTTCTAATCGGGCTGGATCGAACCGGAAAGTGTCTGATCCCGGTTGACCGACCCAAGCCACACCGAACCGGCAGTGTTTGGCCTTTAAAGCTCGAACTGAACCAGACTATGACCCCACTCTCACCGAACCCGATCCATCCAAACCAACCCATCTAAACGGCCTCATCGACCAAACCGAAAAAGGAATGGCTGATTGGTTTTAATCGGGCTGAACCGAACCCGACTGCCATGAAGACTGATCCGAGTTATCCGATCCAATCCGCACCGAACCGGCAGAATTCGACCTTTAAAGCTCGAACTCAACCAGACTATGTTGTTTACATTTTAGATTTAAAATTTGCTTGTGCTTGACGGCAGTGGTAGATTTGGATGGTTGACCAACTTGACTTGGTTTAGATTTTATCCATGCCAAGAGTTTTAATTTCACTTAATGTTTGAAATCATATTATAACATTTTACGATAAAAAGAGAAGTATTTATCTCGTTAATCATGTTCATATTTGATCTTTTATAATCATTTCTTTTTAACTGCTTGTGGTTAGTGAAATATTCCATACGAATAGAAAATATTTTCTGAGTCCAGAGGTGATTTGGCACTTTGATTCTTAGATATCATGTGCCAAATTTTGATTAGAGATGAATATTATCCCATTAAAATTGTATCAAACAAATTTATTTTTTTGTATAATTATAATATAAAGTTTAATTAAAAAGCAACCTTTTGCAGTGTCTGATTGAAATTATTATTTGGTGTTAATTATCGTAAAAAATAAATCATAATTTCGTCACACGGTTCATATTATAATTCAATTAACATTTAACCTTTTATTACTTAGTCATGCTCTAATATTATTATATTATAATTTAATTTAATAATATAATTGACTCGTTAACTTAAGTGAGATATATATACTTTCAGTTAATTTTATGAATCAATTTAGTTCTATAAAATAACTCCATTTTTCTTCCACATTTGATATAAGACAAAATTAGAGTATCACATTGAGTGACCAATAACTTTCAGAAATTCTTGAAGCTTTAGTGATATAGAGAGAGTATAATGTCTTTAACAACAGATTGAATTCAACAATCACAGGGAGATATTGCAGCATAAAACCCTGTGATGTTAAAGGTGGAGAAGTATGTGGTGGTGCTAGCTGCCACAACTGCAAAGTGAAAGGCTATGATCCAATTCCAATTTCCTATTTCTGCATTAGCAGTGGAAGAATAGAGTGCAAATCCAAATTATCAGGTACAGAACTGAACCATGTCATCTTATCATCTTCAATGGATTATTTTTAGTAGAATGGAAATTAGTACCCTGTAACTAAGAAATTGTTAGCAAGTTGAGGTGTTGCAAACTTCTGGATTTAGAATTGATTCATCATCCTAAGGGTAATAGATCCTTAAAGTATGAATAGTTTCATTCTGATGCATTTATCAGTGGATCTGAAACCAAAATTTCCACTGACAGATTTGGGTTATAATCCACCAAGAATTGCTTTTTCCCAATAATTTGCTAACAACAAAAAGGAGACAAGCAATTACTTATCTAGTTTGTTGTTTGTTACTACTGCTTTTGGGTTTGGAATGCAGTCTCTCTTTTGATACCTGCATGTTCACACATGTAGCATGTCCCAGGAAAAGTCATTCATGAAATTGCTGAGCACAGAAAGCTTTCTTCTCTCTCTCTAATTTGGAATCTTATGAACACAGCAGTCAGAGCAGTTCTGCTGCAGTCTGGCCACAAGCAGCATGCATTTTGCCAGTTGCCTCTGACACTGAACAAAAACAGTGGCAAGGAGGAACAACAACATCACATTGGAAATCACATGTTGCTCAAACTGCTTGGGTTTTTCTGCAAGGAATCATTTGACAAAGAAGAGAACAGTAATTTAGTCCATTAAATGAACATGCAATCTTTGGACAACAGAAACATAGTCAAATTAGCTGCTTCCTCTTCCCTTATCAGTACTGATACCCTATACTGCACACTGTTGGAAGTTCCTGGCAGCATTACAATGATGCAACATTAACACAGTTAGTTCTTGGATCAGTAGCTGCTGCTGCTGTTGATGCTACTCAATTCTTGAAGCACTGCCTCCATTGTTGGTCTCTGATCTGGAACTTCACTTGTGCAAAGCAATGCGACACCTGCTAATTTTGCCGCTTCTGGCTTCGGATAATTGCCTTGTAGATTCTCATCGATGAGGTCTTCGAGTTTACCAGACTCCAAGTGAGTGATCCTTGTCTTGCCTGTAAGGATCTGGAACACGATGACCCCAAAGGCATAGACATCACTCTTCTCTGTGAAGCGCCCGACGGTAGCATACTCAGGAGCCAGGTAGCCCATGGCAGCACTTGTTTTGAGGGTCGAGAACACGACATCGTCAGCCAATAGTTTGTGGATGCCAGAGCCAGAGAGAAGAGGATTGGATTGGTGGTCAATGAGAACCTTTGTTGCCGATAAGTTCTGGTGGAACAAAGGCGGTTTGTTTGTTCTATTGCTGTGTAAATATTCGATACCTGTGGAAGAATCAAACAAAATCATGTCCTGTAAAGAAACTATAGCAGTCTGTGGAAATGAAAGAAGAAAATTCCAAAAAATTAGCTCTTGATAAGCTATAGTTTGCAAGCCAACGTTTGATCTAAATGCATTCACCCATGGAAAAGTCTACAAGAATGTTATGCTGTTTTAGATTGAAACTTCAAGAAAGAAAACACGAACTACAATTGATATCATCATAATTGTATCCATGAGCACAAGCTTTTTAAGGAACATTAAGAAAATGACAAGAAAATTAGGAGAAATTAGCTCTTGTTAGGCTACAGTTTGTTCCATTTAACTACATTCACCCAATGGAAAGTCTACAAGAATGTTATACTTTTGAAACCTAGATTCAAACTTTAAGAAAGAAACATGAACCATAAATCATATCATCATCATAATTGTAGCCATCTCACATGACTATTTATGACCACAAACTTCTTCAGGAACACTAAAAAAGATAAAGAGAAAATTAGGAGAAATTAGCTCATGTTAGGCTTATAGCTTGTTCCATATTACTGCATTTACCCAATGAAAAGTCTGCAAGAGTGTTTGCACTTTTGAAACCTAGATTCAAACTTCAAGAAAGAAAAAATCAATTCATATCATCATAATAGTAGCCGTCATCACGTGTTGCTATCCATGATAAGAACATACATAAATCAATCCATAGATACAAGTCAATACCTTTTGCAATGCCTCTGATGATAGAAACTCTTGTAGGCCATTCAAGAACCTTTTGGATCTCATCACCTTTCACATCCAGATACTGTGACAAGCTCCCATTAGCAACAAAATCATATATGAGGAAACACTCCCCTCTTGCTCTTGAATAGCAGAAACCCTTCAATCGAATGAGATTTTCATGCCTCAGTAATGTCAATATCTTCAGACCCTTGAGGAACTCAACTTCGTCAGACTTGCAACTGGTCTTGCTGATTCTTTTTACGGCAACTTTGGTTCCATCTCGCAGTATACCCTTATACGTAGCGGCAAAACTGCCCTTTCTCCCGAGCAGATTAACCTCCGAAAAGTACTGGGTGGCACACTCCACCTCCTCCAAATTAAACTTGTAGTTCTGAGAAATCTCCTGAGACAAGCTAATTCCGCTGCTCTGATCAGTCATTGGATCCCAGCGATTCGAGTACTCGAGGCTAATAAGTGGAGAGGCACTTCTCTGATATGAAAACTTGGCCAGGTCAGTGCTAAGAAGACCATTCTTTTGTTTACGGCGACGGTACCAAACGAAGGCCATCAGTCCAGAGATCATAATTCCAAAAACAACTACAGTGATTGTAATGAAGACAGCCAAGTTGGCAGACTTGGAAGAGCTGGAGCAGTGGGTTGTGTTACAATGTGAAGAGATATTGACAAAATGCGGGATGTCCTGCGGTGTGAGACCGGCACTAAATGGTTCAGGTCTGCTTGCATTGAGGAGATCAGCAGAAGTGCAAATTCTGAGATCAGTGAACCCAGTTCCACACAAATCGGTGTTACTCCCGTACTTGAAGTTCTCGCCCAATCTTTTCAATTCTTCAGGTAGGAGAAGAAGGTGTGATGAGCTCACGAAATGAGTGAGAGAGTGATGAAAGAATCAAAAGGTTAATGAACATGGAAAGTTACCAGGGGGAATGCTGCCAGAAAGAGAGTTGTTCTGAACGTATAACACTGTCAACTGAGGAAGCTGAGATAGCTTGACTGGGATTGAACCAAACAGCTGATTGAAGCTCAAATCCAACCATGTCAATCCAATTAGATCTCCCAAAGTTGCTGGTATTGCCCCACTTAGGTGATTTGATTGCAGGTCAAGCATGTTGAGCTTCTTCAAAAGCCCCAGCTTTGGAGGAATGCTTCCGCTCAGTTTGTTGTTGGAAAGCTGGAGGACTGAAACAGAGGAGGAAAGATGAAGACAACATTTGCATCAGACATGACAAGAGAACTCTAATACACAAACTAGCAAGATGATTCTTCTTCAGAGACGGTTGCAGAAGAGTCATGCAAATGTACCTGAAACCCAGAATGCAATGGAAGAGATTTATGGAAGACAACCCCAAAGAAGACATCTTTGACTCAAAAAGAAACTATAAATCACTTTTACTGAGGTAAAAATCGTTTTTTTCGTGAAAATAACAACATAAAGATGGAACATTTCGCTGAAAAAGATAACCTTTTTCCCCTTTTCCCGTTCTTGTTCTCCACAACGAACTCACCTTGAAGGCCATCCATGTCTCCAATCTCCTCAGGGATGCTGCCGGAAAGGTTATTGACGTTGAGGTAGAGCTCGCTCAGCTCCGTCAGGTTGGCAATCCCTCGCGGGATCTCTCCGGAGATGTTGTTGAAGTGGAAGTAGAGCCCCGTGAGGCTTTTCAGCCTCGCCACCGCCGGCGAGATGCACCCCGAGA